TGGGAGGCACCCACGAAGCCAACGAAGCTGAGATCGTTCTTGGGGCTTGTTAATTACTATAGGCGGTTTATTGAAGGGCACTCCGCTATAGCCGCTCCACTAACGGATCTCTTGAAAAAGGGGCAACCTTGGTGTTGGACACCAAAACACCAAACAGCGTTCGAGGTGTGCACAGACGCTTCGGGCTTCGCCATTGGGGGCGTTCTCATGCAAGATGGTCACCCGATTGCCTTTGAAAGTCGCAAGCTGAACGAGACCGAGAAAAGGTGACCGACGCACGAGAAGGAGATGTTGGCTATAGTTCACTGCCTTAGAGTTTGGGAGCATTACTTGAAGGCCGCCACACCGTTCAAGATCAAGACGGACAATCGGGCAGTGAGCTACCATCAAAGCCAACCTAAGCTTTCAAGCAAGCAAGCACGTTGGTTGGACTTCTTGGCCGAGTTTAAATATGAGCTTGGGTATAGCCCGGGGAAGACTAACCACGTGGTCGACGCACTAAGCCAAAAGGCGTGTCTTGCTCCAATCGTTAGCATACCCAAGGGGACGCTGGTTGATCGCATCAAGAAGGGTCTTGAGCACGACCGTCAAGCCCAAAGGTTCATGGAGCTCGTGAAGGAAGGCAAGACAACACGGTTCTGGTTTGAGGATGGGATACTTTATGCCAAGGGGAACCGTTTGTACGTGCCCGCATGGGATGGACTTAGAAGGGAGATTCTAAGGGATTGCCATGATAGCCGTTATGCGGGTCACCCAGGTATGCATCGCACACTTGCCTTAGTCCATGAACGGTTCTATTGGCCTCGCATGCGGGAAGACGTGGAGACGTATGTAAGGACTTGTCTAGTTTGCCAACAAGACAAGACCGAGCAAGACCTCCCGCATGGCTTGTTATCACCCTTGCCTATTCCGGAACGCCCGTGGGACAGCGTTTCGATGGATTTCATCGTGAGCCTGCCCGTTTCCGAGGGTTGCACCAACATACTTGTTGTGGTAGACCGTTTGTCTAAGTATGCGGTCTTCATTCCCGCCCCAAAAGAGTGCACCGCGGAGATAACGGCCAAACTCTTTCTTAAGCATGTGGTGAAGTATTGGGGGCTGCCTACATCGATCATAAGCGACAGGGACTCGAGGTTCACCGGCCGTTTTTGGCAAGAACTCTTTCGTTTGCTTGGGACGGAGCTCAAGATGTCTACATCTTTGCACCCGCAAACAGATGGGTAGACGGAGCGCATCAATGGCCTCTTGGAGGTGTACCTCAGGCACTATATGGCAGCCAACCAGAAAGATTGGGTACGTTTGCTAGACGTTGCCCAATTTTCCTATAACTTGATGCGGAGTGAGAGCACGGGCAAAAGTCCGTTTGAGATTGTCCTTGGTTTCCAACCAACTACGCCTAAGGACATTCTTGGGGGCTATAAGGGCAATAGCCCACCCGCATACAAGTTTGCCAAAGATTGGCAAGAACGGGCCGATGAGGCAAAACTCTACTTGGAGAAATCGGCCGCGCGCATGAAGAAATGGGCGGATAAGAAACGGACCCGTCGCGAGTTTGAAGAAGGCGACCAAGTCTTGGTGAAGCTTTATGAGCATGGACGGAGCCGTGGTCTACACAAGGGTCTCATGCGCAGATACTAGGGTCCTTTCACCGTTCTTAAGAAAGTGGGTTCGGTTGCTTACAAGCTGGAGCTACCCGAGGCCTTCTCAAGGCTTCATCCAGTCTTTCATGTGAGCCTACTTAAGCCATACCGCAAGGACCCAGAGGACGAAGAACGGAACGTTTCCTCAAGGGCACCAGCTGGCGTACACGAGCATGAGGAACGGACCGCAGAGGAGATCCTTTCTAAGAGGATCGTTTGGGGCAAGAGCGGGGCAGCAACTAAAGAATACTTGGTGAAATGGAAGAATTTGCCAATGAGTGAGACGAGTTGGTAGCCAATCGAGAAGCTTTGGCAATTCACCAAATTGATTGAAAACTTTGAGGAGAATCGTGCACCCGTTCCTATCAACATTGCCTTCGAGACTTAGGTGCATCGGGGCGATGCACCATTTTGGTGGGGGAGGATGTCACGGACAGTTTTTCTTCACCACGAATTCGGGTGGTTTGATGTGAAACGGGCTATTTTCGTAGACGGACAAGGGACGGAACGGTCTAGAGCCTTGTGGAATTCTCCGGTCAACTCTTGAAGACTCTGGAATTTTCTAGAGAGGCCCGGAACTCTCTAGAAACGGGTGGAACCGTGTGGAAGCTACCCGAGTTTGCTAGAACCGTGTGGAAGATTCTAGAGACTTGTAGATATTTTGAACTTAGAATATTTTATTGTAGGAATTCTCTAGAATTCCATTATTTTATTATGTACATAGAATTCTCTAGAATTCTTGAGGACTTGGGGTTTGCCTATAAATACCCCATGCCCCCTTCATTTGTAATCATCCAAGCTTTGAGTAGAGTTCTCAAGCAGTCCTTAAGCTCTCTTGTGCCTTCATCGTTCTTTCACTTTCAACCTTTCTTAAGTTTTTCTTGGCCTCCGTTCTTTAAAGCCTTGCCTAGCTTTGCACGCTTTGGGGGTCTTAAGGCTGAGCTAGCACTTGATCGTTAGTTGTTTTGTGCTAGTGCCGCACGGCTGTTACTTTGAAAAAGTAAGCCCGTGACACTACTAAAACCATAAGCGTCCGGCAGGATGATGAAATGGGCAGTCGAGTTAGGCGAGTACCATATCGAATACAAGCCTCGATCAGCCATCAAAGGGCAAGCCTTCGCCGATTTTTTAGTAGAAACACCTCGAGCTATCGAAGTCAAAGGAATGGCAGAACCTAAAGATGATCCCACTACTTGCGCCCACATCAACCCTCGGGCATGGTCACTATATGTCGATGGATCGCGTTGCGATGAAGGGGTAGGCGCCGGCATCATATTATCCAAACCTCCGGCTGATCCCGACATCGAGAACATGAAAGAATACGACGCGGAATATACATATGCGTTGAGATTCGGTTTCTCGGTCACCAATAATATAGTAGAATACGAGGCATGGATAGTGGGGTTAAACATGGCACTAAAACTTGGTGTCCGCAAAATACAGGTTTTTAGTGATTCTCAAGTAGTAGTAAAAAAAATATCGGGAGAATACATGGCAAACGACGAGCACCTCAAGCGCTACCTCGAGAAGGTCCTCGACATCAAGGACAAATTCGAGGAATGCACCGTATGCCACGTAGAGAGCCGACGCCCTCAGCAAGTTGGCCTCCTCGAACTTTGCACACCTCAGCCACAAAGTATGGGTCGAAATTCTCCACAATCCCAGTATCCAGGATGTTCCCGTAGCGACCATCGTCGAGGACGGCGACACTTGGATGACCCCTTTCATTCAATACCTTACAAATGGGACGTTGCCGAGTGGAAAAGCAGAAGCAAGAATCCTCCGATTAAAAGCGGCCAAATACACATTGCGAGACAGCATCCTATACAAGCATGGATACCTGCAATCCATGCTAAGGTGTATTGGCCCAAAGCAAGCAGCTTACGTACTCGAAGAAGTACACGAAGGATCATGTGGAGCTCATATGAGAGCAAGAGCACTTGCCAAGAAGGCCTTGCTAGCAGGATATTTCTCGCCGACAATCTTTAAGGACGCCTACCAATGGGTACAAAAATGTGAGAAATGTCAGCGCTTCTCCCCCGTCACCCGACAGCCATAGCACGAGATGGTCACCATCCAAAGCCCATGGCCATTTTACCAATAGGGCACTGATATCATCGGCCCCTTTCACCCGGAAGGAACAGGAGGAGTAAGATGGGTCATTGTAGCCGTAGATTACTTCACTAAATGGGTAGAAGCCAACCCCTTGGCCTCGACCACCGGGAGAAAAGTCTTAGATTTTTTCTGGCAGAACATAGTATGCCGCTTTGGGGTCCCGAAAATCGTCGTCTCCGATAATGGGACCCAGTTTGAGAGCAATACTTTCAGATCATGGTGCAACGAAATGCAGATCGAACGCCGCTTCTCAAGCGTAGCCCATCCCCAAGCCAATGGGCAGGCCGAATCCATCAACAAAACGATACTGCATGGAATCAGGACCAGGTTGTACGACTCCAAGGGGGCATGGGCCGACGAACTCCCCCACGTCCTGTGGGCATACCGGACAACTGCCCACTCTTCGACCGATGAGACGCCGTACAACTTAGTCTACGGAATGGACGCCGTCCTCCCTGTCGAGATCGGCCTGTCGAGTCCTCGAACTGCAAACTTCGTTGCAAGTACCAATGATGATGACATCTGACTAAACCTTGACCTGCTCGAGGAACGTCGAGACGTTGTCAGAATCCGAGAGGCCAAGTATAAAGAGACTCTTCGAAGACATTACAACAAAAAGGTGAAAGCCACGGATCTAGCTGTGGGTGACCTCGTACTAAGAAAAAACGAGGCCAGTCGAGCAGAAGCCCCTGGGAAAGTCACTGCAAATTGGGAAGGACCTTACAAGGTTATCCAGGCTTCCCCAGCAGGCTGCTACTGCCTAGAAGCCATGGACGATAGCGGAACCATCCTTCCCCGATGGTGGAACATCCAGAATCTTCGAAGGTTCTATGTTTAAGCCCTTGTCTGTTATTTGCCCTTTATGTGTTTTACTTACTTTACTCAGTCAATCTTATACTCTCATATGTAATGCTAACCCGGGTCCTCGGGTAATTATTCAATAAAAGACATTACATATTCCTTTCATTAGTAGCAATGCATTCATGACTAGTCATCGAGATGGACTCCCTCTTTAGGGCCATCCTCGCTCAAGAGCCATGTACTCAACATCCGGACACAAACTCGAGGAACTTTCCTCACACACATTGCAAAACGCAGTGTCAAGTCAAGGAATTCGTACCCAATTCCTATGATGGAGCCGTGTACTCTACATCCGGCCTAAAAACCGTTTTATAAATCAATACTCGAGTAAAATAAACATTCGTTCCACACTACTGTGCGAACTCACAAAAAAGTAAATGCATCCTACACTATTACAAGCACCTCCCTGTCAGGATTGTCGGGGGAGGGATGAATAATCCCCTTATACCCATGCAGGCTAAGGAGATTCACGCACTGATTTAATTTGTCCTTGAGGTCCACGATCTCTGTATCCTGAGCGTGCACCCTCATCAACAACTCCTCTCGAGAGCTCCGGGTTCGAGGATCTACTGTCTCCTCTGGACGCTCGAAAGCCTCCAAGTCGATGTTGTTATCCAGCAGAAGATTTTGAAGTTGAGCCACATAATCTGTAAGAAGCTCGATTTCACGAGACCTTTCTTTCAATATATCCATGGCTGCGATAAAGTGACGAGTCCTGACCACAATCATGTGCTGGACTCGAGCTAACACTTGGTGCTTCTCGAGAAACCAGGGAGACACAGTAATCTGCTGTCTTGCCCTAAGCCGAGCATTTTCCTTCTCCATGCTCACCAGCTCGTCATGAATCTCGGCCTCGAAAGTCAAAGAATCGCTGTGGTCTCTCAGGCTTTGAACCTCTCGACGCTGCATCTCTTCACGGAGTCCTTTGATCTCGTTTATCAGATGCTGGTTAACCTTCACGTTGTGCGTCCTCATAGCATCGAGCAGGTCATTCTCCAAATGCGCCACTGTCTTGAGGCTGTGCACGTCGGCACAACTTCTCAGAATCCCGCTTATCATAGAATATAATGGAAACTCCCTCGATTGCTCCTCTGATAACACCATATGGTATACGCGGTGAACGGTCCAACTTTCCTGTTTCACCAGAGGAGCATAAGGCACTCACATCAAACCAAATAGAAAGAACACAGAGGACGAACAACCAGAATAAAGAAAGACGTTTGCATAAATCTAAGCAAGGAAAGAAAAATTAGTTCATTACAACAGAAAGAAAAAAGTTTGAATGGCCTAAAAAACTATTACAGAAGGCAGGATTCATACAACATCACTGCCTGGGAGAGGATCATTGGAAGGGTCCTTGGAAGGGGCCTGAGAGGCATCCTCAGCGGATCTCTGAACTCCGGAGTGACCGGTATCAGCAACATCCTCCTCAGTTTCCTCATCAGCATCCTCGAGCTCGATGCCCATATACTCGTCCGGAACCTCGGGGATAGGGTCTTCCTCACTTGGACCCTTGGCCAGGACAGCAGGGATGTCACCTGGAAACGAGGCAATCTCCGCTGGAGAACTCATCTTGGGCAGGGCACCGGTCAAAGCACCCCATAGAGGGAGCTGATCAAGACTCAACCTCGTCAAGACCTTCACCATGGCCTCGTGCATGGTTTTCTTTGGGTCCTTCATCAAGATTTGCTTAAACCATTTGGCCTTAATTGACCTATCCTGGTCGAGCCTCTTTAACCTTGCCACGCCCACTCGGTGCGCACCACACTTGGTGGCAACCAAGCTCACCTCCTCGAGAGCTGCAGCCATCCCGCCTGTGGACATCATTCTGTACATAAAGGCGGTGCACCACTGGTGGAGCTCCTCCTTGGAGATATGCAGGCCGGCAAACGCCTTCATCTTCTCGTCGAGCTCATCGTACTTGGCCTGCACCTTGGCGATCTCTGCTTCCTTGGCCTGAACTTGGCGAACCTTCTCCTCGAGGGTAACCACCTCGAACAACGCCTTGTCCCTTTCTGCCCTTGCTGCTGCCAGGTCCTCTCGAAGTTTCCTCAGCTGTACTAAGTAAGCCATCGAAGCTGTGCTCATCTGAGCCAACACAACATATTAGAGACACATGGACTTTCGTGGAGCATGTACGACATAATTTGAAGAAAATTACTTACCAGCCGCAAGCTGTCAGTCTCATTCAGTTGGGCAGCAAATTCCTCGAGAACAGGACACTCGATTGAAGGAGGGTTGCTAAAGGTATGAACGGCCACAGTACGGCCTCCCTCGAACAGTTGAGAGGGCAAGACTATAGCCTCTCCCTCGAGAGGGCTCTTTCCTTTTCCTACCCTGGGAGGAACTGTGCTTGGCCCTGTCTCCTGCACAGTTTTCTGCACAGGTTCCGTAGCAACGGGCACCGTCTCGACGCTTGGTTGGGCAGTTTCCCTCGGGGGCGCATCTGTCTTGGCCTTTTTGGCCTTTGCCCTGTCACCCACCTTCACGATCCTTTTCTTCTTCTTCTTCTTCTGGGGGGCAAGTAGTAACTGTAACATCCTCATCTGAATTCACAATGACAAAAGGATCTTCGTCACCAAACAATCGAGACCCAGCATTGCTCGACGACATGACCTAACAACAAAGGAAAAAAAAAGAAGAAAACGATTAGTACCTTGATCAGAGGTTTCGACGGAAATTCTGGTTGCTCCCTCGACGATGACCGTATCACCTTCCTTCACATATGCAGGGGGCACATAGTATTGGACGTCATTCCACTTAACGACATTCGTATACTTCAAAATTTTCTCAACGTCTGCCTGGAACTCCTCGACACATTCTTCATCCTCTTGGGTCCAGTCATCTTTTATGGCCCCAAGGCCCTCTGTCTCACGGAGATTCCATGGTAGATAATAACTTGCAGGCGCCTTTACAAACACAAAATCCGGTTTCCATTCTGGAGAACCGCCATACGCCTCGACCATTTTCTTCACGCCGGTTCTAAGGCGTCTTTTAACTATATACCAATCTTGAAAAGAAGTCGAGGCCACAACTACTTGGAAAAAGTACCTCCATAATATCAATCGAGGTACCACCTTTACATACTGGCACACTCTCGCAAACCCCAGTACAAATGTAATTAAATTTGGGGTAAAACGAGCGAGAGGAGTCCTATAATGTTGAACAATCTCATCAAACAGGGGGTAAAGGGGAAATCTAAGCCCTAGATGCATAAATCGATCATATACAGTAATTCTTCCCCTTGGAGGAGAGTTGGCCCTCTCGTTTCCTAACGGAGCCCTCGCCTGCAGGGCAGAGGGGAAGTCATACTTGGATCTGAGATATTCTACCTTATCCACCGAGTCTATGGTGGAAACAAAGTCTAGAACAGTTTTCCCTTCGGAATCCCTAACCATAACTCTGGAAAAATCTACTGTGGGTACAGACGAAAGGAAACGGAACGAATCGGAGATTCAGATCTGGAAACTTACTGTGTAAGGGGGACGTGTCCACTCGCCCTTCGAATTGTAACTCCCCAGTGTTGCCTAGAAGCCTCAATTCGGAGCTCCCCTGGAAAACAGCATCGCCGGGGCAGTATATCAGGTCAAATTGTGAAAATTCCGGCTGGGAAAGAATTTCGGATACTCTGTAAAGGAAGCGGAATGGGAACTGAAATGCTTTTTGCAAGAAAAAGATTTTTGTGCTTTTTACGGAGAAAAGAAATGGTTAAGTGTCCGGGAGAAGTAGGAGTTTTTCTCTTTTAAACGTAAAGTTGATTCTCCCACGTCTCCTTAATTATAGGCCGCGATCTGACAGTTATTGCGGGTGTGAAGGAAGTAATGATGTTGAGGCCGCCGTTTGGGGAACGTGCCCGCTAATAACGCATAATTGAAAATTTGAGTGGAATTGGGGAAGCGGGTCGCCTTCCTGGACCACGGCCCGACCCGCCGGTTCCTCTCGATCCTCTAAGGTCGAGGGTGGCGTGTCAGCACTGAGCTTGTTAGGCGTATGCCTCGACAATTAGCTGAACGAGGGCGATCCATCCACCCTCGGGCATGTCTCAGGTAATGCTCATTTTGTGCCAAGCGTTGTTTTGTTTTACGTCACTAACACTTGGCAGGGACACTTGACGAGTCCAGATCCATGACCGAGATTGTACCAGCCCACTCACCACAAGAAGAATCCAACTGGGACTCTTAGGACGGTATGAATCCCTAAAACCTAGTAGGATTCGGAATGGTCCGGGTAATCACATACTTATAAATAGGGTAGCTCATACAGCAATTCAGGTACGCAATCAACAAGCCAAACATACTACCTCCCAAAAGCTTTCTAGCAATCCCGTTTACTGACTTAAGCATCGGAGTGTCTACCCTCGGGAAACCTCGAGGCTCTGTTTTGCAGGAAACCCTAAACGGAGTTCCACCGTTAAACCGGCGGCGTGTATCCGTGCATCATCACATAACAAGAAATTCAATTTTATTTCCCCAAAACACGACTAGAAAAGAAAGTATGCTGGGAAAATAAAATTTCAATTGATATAACGAATTGCATTCATTATATTTTCTGAATCCATGCATTGCATATATATAGTATGATCATACGGTAATACAATTCGTTAATGACTAGAATTCTCAATTTGGCTTCTTACGGGGAACTCATTAGCCACCGAAGTCTTCTCAGTCCTCGTGATATGATACTAAAAATGCCAAATAGGCAACAATACTCGTCTCTTGGAAATCATGGAGGATTGTTTCTTGAGTTTCACCACACAACTCACAATTCGACTTATTAGTCATGACGCTGGGATCCTCATGGATCGTCAGTGAGCTTCCTCGGGCTGTGAAGTAAAAACCATTCTTAACCTTCACATATTACAATGGTTTTTCGAAATTTTTATCTTCCAAACTTATAAGCCATTCTGCACATATTTTCACATTACATTCTCCATATTTATTAATATCTAATCAATTTTACACATGTCCAATCCTTTTGTCACTGTTATTAATATCTTTATTAAGGCATCTATCAAAATGATTTAAGTAGTTCCGTTCTAACAACTAGTATATTAATGATGACCGGTTCAGTGTTAACTAAGTGAAGAATATGATTGATGGATTCAATAGGAGTATTTGAATAAAAAAGGACGAGGTTAAAATTTAACCAACTTTGATGACGAAGCTTGGTTTCGCGCTGCCGGTCTAACTGTGGAACTCTGACTAGGGTTTCTTGCAAAACAGGGCCTCGGGGTCTCCCGAGGGTAGACACTCCGATACTTAAGTCAATAAAGGGTTGCTGGAAGGTTTAGGTATGTAGTATGTTAAGTTATAGATTGCGTCCCTGTATTGTGGCATGAGCAAGCCTATTTATAGGTATGAGAATACCTAGGAAATCCCTGAGTCCTATTAGGTTTCGGGAACCTAAACTGCCTCAAGAGTCTCGGTTAGACTCTCCTTTCGGTTGATGGGCCGGTCCAGTCTCGGTGATGGATATGGACTCGTCAAGTGCCCCTGTCAAGTGTTAGTTATATAAGATAAACAACGCTTGGCACAAAGTTACCTGGGACAAACCCGAGAGTGGATAGGCTACTCTCGTTCAGCTAGTTGTCGAGCAACGCATCAAGTAACCTCGATTCAAATGCACAACTCTCGATCTTGGAAGCCCGAGCGTAACTAGCGGGTTAGGTCTTGACCCGGGAAGGTGACCCGTTTCCTTGTCCCGTCCAAAATTTCAACCGCGCGTTATTAGTGGGCACGTTCCCCAAACAGCGGCTTTACCATCATTACTCCTTTAAAATTCGCATTAACTATCATATCGTGGGTTGTAATTAGGGAGACGTGGGAGAATAATTTTTATTTTTAAGGAGAAGGCTCTATCATTCCCCTTTCACATATCACTTTTCCTTCTTCGCAGAAACGAAAGTTCTCCTCTCCGTCAGAGTGTTCCAACTATCTTCGCCGGAATATTCAAGCCTTTACCAACATACTGCCCCAGCGACGTTATCACTAGAAGATTTGCTATCAGGATCTTGGAAGAACACTGGGAAGCTACAACTCGAAAGGTGAGTGGTCACATCCTCCTCTAACAGTAAGTTTTCAGATCTGACTACCCCCAGTTTCATTCGAAGTTTTTGTCTTTTCCAACTGTAGCTAGAGTAGATTTGTAACGGAATCATGGTTAGGGATTCGGAAGGAAAAACTGTTGATGACTTCGCATCCGCCATAGATTCTGTTGATAAGGTAGAGAACCTTAGATCAAAATATGACCTTCCTTTAGATCTAGAGGCGAGAGTCCCGTTAGGAAACGAGAGGGCCAACTCTCCTCCCGAGGGAAGAATTACTGTGTATGACTGATTTATGCATCTAGGGCTTAGATTCTCCCTCTTCCCTCCGTTCGAGGAGATTGTGCAACACTAGGACTCCCCTTGCTCGTTTCACCCCAAATTTAATAACTTTTGCGCTGGAATTTGCAAAAGTATGCCAACATGTAAAAGTAAAACCTCGGTTCATACTGTGGAGGTATTTCTTCCAAGTAGTTGTGGCCTCGACCTCTTTCCAAGACTGGTATATTGTGAAGAGGCGCCTTAGATCCGGTGTTAAAAAGATGGTCGAGGTGTATGGCGGCTCTCCTGAATGGAAGCCGGACTTCTTGTTTGTAAGGGCATCCGAAACTATTGTCTGTCGTGGAATCATCAAGAAACGGAGGGTCTTGGAGCCATAAAGGATGAATGGACCCAAAAAGACGAAAAGTTCATCGAGGAGCTTAATGCAGATGTGGAGAAAATCCTGAAATATTCTAAGGTCGTTAAATGGAATGACGTACAATATTACGTACCTCCTGTGTCCACCGAGGAGGATGATAATGCTAATGTCGAGACCTCAACCAGAATCCTTCTCGAAACCTCTGTTGGAGAAAACCAAGGTACTAATCATTTGCTTTTTCCTTGTCTGTTCTTAGGTCATGTCGTCAAGCAACGCTGGTTCTCGATTGTTTGGTGACAAAGATCCTTTTACTATTGTGAATACAGATGATGACGTTACCATCACTGCAGCGCCTCGAAAGAAGAAGAACAAGAGGATCGTGAAGGTTGGTGATAGGGCAAAATCTAAGAAGGCTAAAACGGATGCGCCCTCAAAAAGAAGCCACAGCTCCGGGTAACGAGACGGTGCCCCCTGCTACTGAGACCGTGCAAAATCCTCCACTAGAAGCAGGGCCAAGTATTGTTCCCCCTGCACCAGAAAAAGGCAAAGGCCCCCTCAAAGGAGAGGCAATAACATTGCCCCCTCAACTGTTCGAGGGAGGTCCGTCCATGGCTGTGCACACCTTCAGCAACCCACCGACCATCGAGTGTCCCGTCCTCGAAGAATTCGCTGCTCAGCTGAATGAGGTTGACAGTCTGAGATTGGTAAGGGAGTTTTCGCTGTTATGAATGCTTACCACAAACCGGTACCACCTTAGCGTGTTTCTAATGTGTTTTGTTGGTGTAGATAAGCGCGGCCTCGATGGCCTATCTGGTGCAGCTGAGGAAATTGCGAGAAGACCTGGTCGCAGCTCGATCTGAAAGGGATGAAGCTCTATTCAAGGTGGTGATCCTCAAAGAAAAGGCCCGCCAGGTCCAAGCGAAGGAAGCTGAGATCGCCTTGGTACAAGCCAAGTATGACGAGCTGGACGAGAAGATGAAGTCTTTCGCCAGCTTGCACATCTCAAAGGAGGAACTACACCAGTGGTGTGTTGCGTTCATGTACAAGATGCTGTCTACAGGAGGGATGGCCGCAGCCCTCGAGGAGATGAATTTGGTTGCCACCAAGTGCGGGACGCACCGGGTTGGCGTGGCAGGTTTGAGGAAGCTCGATCAGGACAGGCCAATTAAAGCCAAGTGGTTTAAGCAGCTCCTGATGAAGGACCCGAAGAAGACCATGCACGAGGCAATGGTGAAGGTCCTAACAAGGTTAAACCTCGACCAACTGCCCCTGTGGGAAGCTGTGACTGGTGCCTTGCCGAAAATGAGTTCTCCTGCAGACATTGCTTCGTTCCCAGGCGACATACCTGCTATCCTTGCCAGGGGCCCGAGTGAAGAAGATCCCATACCTGATGTACAAGACGAGTACATGGGTATTGAGCTCGAGGATGGTGATGAAGCCACCGAGGAGGACGTTGCTGATACTGGCCACTCTGGAGTGCAGAGAAATGCCGAGGATGCTTCTCAGAACCCTCCTCCAAGCAGTGATGCTGTATGAATCCTGCCTCTTATAATAGCTGTTAGGCCTGTTGAACTGCTGTGTTTTGTTTTTTGTTTTTTTTTTTGTAATGAACTGAGTACTCCATTTTTTCCTTTTGTGCACTTATACAAGCATCCGCTTTTTTATATTTTTTTTTCCGGTCTGATGTAAACATCTTACACTCCTCTTGTGAAGATGGATAATTGGCCCGTTCACCGTGTTCACCTCATGGTGCTATCGGAGGAGCAATCGAGCGAGTTCCCGCTATATTCCATGATTAGCGGAATTCTAAGAAGTCGTGCCAACGTGCACAGTATCGAGACAGTGGCAAATCTAGAGAATGACCTTCTCGATGCAATGAGGACGCATAATGTGAGGGTTAATCAGCATCTGATAAATGAGATTAAAGAACTTCGTGAGGAGATGCAACGTCGGGAGGCTCAAAGTCTGAAAGACTAAGGTGATTCTCTGACTTTCGAGGCCGAAATCCACGATGAACTGGTTACCTTGGAGAAGGAGAATGCTCGGTTGAGGGAAAGACAACAGATTATCGTGTCCCCCTGATTCCTCGATAAGCATCAGGTGGTAGCTCGAGTTCAGCACATGAATATAACCAGAACTCACCGCTTCATTGCAGCAATGGATATATTGAAAAAGAAAGCCCGTGAGATCGAGCTTCTTACGGATTATATTGCCAAATTACAAAATCTGTTACTAGACAACAACATTGACTTCGAGATTTTTGAGCATCCGGAGGAAACAGTGGATCCTCGAACTCGGAGTTCTCGAGAAGAGCTGTTGATGAGGGTGCATGCTCAGGACCTAGAGATTGTGGATCTTAAGAACAAGCTGAATCAATGTGTGAATCTCCTTAGCCTGCATGGGTATAAGGGGATTATTCATCCTTCCCCTGACAATCCTGTCAGGGAAGTCCTTGTAATAGTGTAGGAAAATATGTATATTTTCTGCAAGCTCGCACAGTAGTGTGGAGAGAATTAGTGAATTATTTTTGACTTCACTCGAGCATCAATTTATATAGCGCTTTTTAGGCCGGATGTAAAGTACACGGCTCTATCGAGGGAATTAGGTACGAATTCCTTGATTTGATACTGCGTTTTGCAGTGTGTGTGAGCAGAATTCCTCGGTTTTGTGTCCGGATGTTGAGTACACGGCTCTTTAACGAGGATGGCCCTGAAAAAGGAGTCCACATCGATGACTAGTCATGAATATAATGTCGACAATGAAAGGAATATGTACTGTCATTTATTGAATAATTACTCGAGGACCCGGGTTAGCATTACATATGAGAGGATAAAACTGACGAGATAAATAAAGCAAATAAAACACACAATAGGCAAATAGCAGTAGAACCTGCGAAGGTTCTGAATATTCCACCATCGAGGGAGAATAGTCCCGCTATCATCCAAGGCCTGTAAGCGGTAGCTGCCTGCTGGGGAAGCCTGGATAACCTTGTAGGGCCCCTCCCAATTCGCTGTGAGTTTTCCAGGAGCTTCTGCTTGATTGGCCTCATTTTTCCTTAGCACGAGATCGCCCACGGTGAGGTCCGTGGCTTTCACCTTCTTGTTGTAATGTCTTCGTAGAATCTCCTTATACTTTGCTTCTTGGATTCTGGCGGTGTCTCGCCATTCCTCGAGCAGGACAAGGTTCAGCTTGATGTCATCATCATTGGTGCTCTCGATAAAGTTTATTGTTCAAGGACTCGACAAGCCTATTTCAACCGGGAGGATGGCATCCATGCCATAGACTAAGCTATACGGTGTTTCGTCTGTCGAGGAGTGAGCAGTAGTACGGTATGACCATAGGACGTGAGGAAGCTCGTCGGCCCATGCCCCCTTTGCGTCATACAACCTGGTCTTGATCCCATGCAAGATGGTTCTGTTGATGGATTCGGCTTGACCGTTAGCTTGAAGATGAGCCACGTTTGAGAAGCGACGCTCGATTTGCATTTCCTCGCACCATGACTTGAAAGATTGCTCTCGAATTGGGTCCCATTGTTAGAGATGATGACCTTTGGGATTCCAAAATGGCATACAATGTTCTGCCAGAAAAAATCTAAGACTTTCCTCCCTGTTATCGAGGCCAGGAGTTTAGCTTCTACCCACTTAGTGAAGTAATCTACTGCTACGATTACCCATCTTACTCCTCCTACCCCTTCTGGATCAAAGGGGCCGATGATGTCAGTGCCCCATTGGTAGAATGGCCAAGGGCTTTGGATGGTGACCATCTCGTGCTGCGGCTGTCGAGTGATGGGAGAGAAGTGTTGACACTTTTCGCATTTCTGTACCCACTGGTATGCGTCCTTGAAGATTGTTGGCCAGAAATATCCTACCCGCAAGACATTCTTGACAAGTGCCCTTGCTCCCATATGTGCTCCACACGATCCCTCGTGTATTTCTTCGAGCACGTAAGCTGCCTGCTTTGGGCCAATGCATCTTAGCATGGGTACATAGGATGCCATCTCGCAATGTGTATTTGACTGCCTTCAATTGGAGGGCTCTGGCCTCTGCTTTTCTGCTTGGTAACGTTCCATCTGTAAGGTATTGGATGAACGGGGTCATCCAAGTGTTGTCTTCCTCGGTGACAGCCATTACGGGGGCTTCCTGGATGCTAGGACTGGGGAGAATCTCGACCCATACTTTGTGGCCGAGGTGTGCAAAGTTTGAGGAGGCCAACTTGCTGAGGGCGTCAGCCTTTTTGTTTTTCGACCGGACTATGTGGGATACAATGCATTCTTCGAACTTGTCCTTGATTTCGAGGACTTTCTCGAGATAGCGCTTGAGTTGCTCATCGTTTGCTGTGTATTCCCCCAATATTTGTTTCACCACTACTTGAAAATCACTAAAAACTTGAATTTTGCGGACTCCGAGCTTTAGTGCCATGTTCAGTCCTACTATCAGTGCTTCGTATTCTGCCACATTGTTGGTGACTGAGAACATGAACCTTAGTGCGTATGTATATTCTGCATCATACTCCTTCATGCTTTCGATGTCGGGATCAGCTGGAGGTTTGGATAATATGATACCGGCTCCTCTTCCTTTATCACAGCGAGAGCCGTCGACGTATAGTGACCAGGCTCGAGGGTTGATGTTGACGCGAGTAGCAGGATCATCTTTAGGCTCCGCAGTGTCCTTGACATCGATAACTTGTGGCATTTCTACCAGAAAATTTGCAAAGGCTTGTCCTTTGATTGCTGATTGAGGTATGTACTCAATATGGTGCTCGCCCAATTCGACTGCCCATTTCATCATTCTGCCGGAGGCCTCTGGCTTGAGTAGGACTTCCTAAATTGGTTGTTCTGTTAAAACCATGATGGGGTGTGCTTGAAAGTATTGGCACAGACGTCGGGCGGCCAAGACTAGGCTGAGGATGAGCCTTTCCATGGGTGAATACCGGGTTTCCGCTCCTTGCAAGACTTTACTGAGAAAATAGACGAGGATTTCTCTGCCATCTTTGCGCTGCACGAGTACGGCCGAGATGGCTTTTTCTCGAGCTGCCAGATAAATATATAGAGTTTCTCCTGGTTCCGGCTTAGCTAGTGTGGGCAACTGCTTGAGGTGTTCCTTCAGATCTCGGAAGGCTTTCTGGCATTCTCCATTCCATTCTAATTTTCTGCCTTTGCAGAGGGTATGGAAGAATGGAAGGCTTCTCTTCGCGGCTCGAGAAAGAAATCTATTTAGAGCCGCCAAGGAGCCTATGAGTTTTTGAACTTCCTTGACAGTTTTTGGCGCTTCCATGGCCAAGATGGCTTCGATTTTGGCTGGATCAACTAGGCCTGTTCATTGGGTCGGTTTGTACCCGACTCGACCGACCCGAATTTGTTTTATTACATTCGGTCAAAAAAAATTCGGTTGTTTTGGTTATATTTTGACTACACTCAAATGAGTCCCAGTACTGTAAACACACCCGAATGAACATTTCTTAGTTTCTCTTCCACCCATTTTCACCCTTAATCTTCTCCCTCAAATCCATCATCGGCGGCAACCTTCCTCAAACCAATCGTCGGCGACCTTCTAACACCCATTTTCACCCGTAATCTTCTCCCTCAAATCCATCATCGGCGGCAATCTTCCTCCTCCCTCAACACAGATCGGTCATGCATCATTCCTTTTTCCAGATCTAGCCGATTCACCTCTTCGATTCACTCTCCAAATCCAATCACCGGCGACCTTTCTCAAATCCAATCGTCGTTGACCTTCCGACACCCGTAATCTTCCTCCCTCAACACATATCGGCATACGAGATTCTGCTTTCATGTCCTAACGGTCTCTCTCCCTTGCAGGTTTCTAAAATTAATTGTTTGATCGATTTTCATTCTTTGTGGTTATACTTTCAGCTAATTGGAGCTTCTGGGTAGCTATAATATTATGTTCCCGTTTTTTTTTTGTGGGGGGTTTTAATTTATTTCAAGAATTTGTGTTTTGTCAATTGTTAATTATGTTATCGGCCTTAAATTTTGATTTTGAAGGTGACTGTTGATCTTAATGAGGCCTATGATAGAATTCCTCACCCAGATGCTGATTTAGAGAACTCCATTTCTGAGGTTATACCTTTTTTTCTTTTTTCTTTTTTTTTTTTGCTTTGATAGCTTCAAACAGTTCTGGCTTAATTGAACTGTTTTCAGGATTTATGTTTTTATAATGAGTATATTTTTTTCTTAATTGTTTTGTTAGATGTGGGATGCAAGAACTCAGAAGAATGCTTCATTGTTCAATGGTCTTAAGTTTAGGGTATGCAAATTTAAGCTCTCTCTTTTCTGGTTTTCTTCGAAAGTTCACCTTTGTATGCATATTTGTGTTGTTTGTGATGAGATATATTGATGGAGGTGAAAACAACGGATCAAATTGCTTAACTGATGATATGCTTTTATGTGCTTCATAAATGTATACTCCGAACAAATGCTTTTATTGTTAATTACCTTGTTTTTATGGCTGAGCTCAGGCAACAGTGAAATATAGTATGATTCCTTCAAAATTATAAAGGGCTTAAGATTTTGGAGTAGTTGATTCCAGGGAGCCAATTAAGGTAGATTAGCAGATAAGTTTGGAAACGATATGTGCTATGTGCTTGTCCATTAGTAACGCTAAGCATGATTCACTTTTTTCTGCAGTACTTTTAATTCTTGTATATCTTAGGTTAATATGTATTTAGAGCTTTAGATTAGAGGTTTTGGCTTATTTATTTCGGTAAATGGTTTTTAATCCTTTCAAAATGATTTGATTAATAGACTGGGCCTGGCTTTACTGAATTTTCAGTTAAGTGCAGGCTTAGTTTAGTGGTGTCCCCTTGAGTTTGGTGTTTAACTTGGTTTCTTTTATTTTAATGGTTTTGCCTTCCAACCTAGTGTTCAGGTTCAGCCTGAGTTATGTTTTAGATCGATTTCTAGAAATAGTGTCACACTATTTACTTTTGCAGTTGCCAAACCAATGCCAAAATTCTTTGACTTGTGGTTTTGAGTAGAATGCTCAGGTTTACCCGTTTATCTGCTTTGTAGACTAAGCATTTAGTAGAATAGAAAACCAAGAAGCTGCATGTTAGCGTGCTCTTTTATGTTATTACTGCACAAATGCACCCTGTAGTACAAGCTCTTCAGATACTTATCATTCAGTTACCGTAGGCGACTGAATCCCATGAAAGTGAAGTAGTCCCCTGTAATTGATAAGATTTGTTAATTGATAAGATTTGAACACCTGTAACACTGCCTGTGTAGTTGGGAATTTGGATAAAGCTCACGTGTGAAGTACACTGCGATTTCAGGGCTGCTTCTATTTCAAGAACAAGTAAGCATGCTTGTTTATAGTTGAAATTGGTCTACAATCACCTGGCACCGGCATTTCTATTTCTGCTGCAATGGCATTTCTATTTGTTACCTGTTGTATGGTTCTTATTTTTCTTTTGTTGCATTTGGTTTATCTGACGTGCCACTGTTTTTTTCCTTGTAGGGAGGAGATCCCTCTAAAGAACGGAACTACTTATTTGAGGTAATTTTGCAGGACTGAGTTTATTATCTACATTTTAGTTTTTTGAATGAATTCAAAGCCATAGATAAAGTTACTAAAGCGGGGAATGGAAGAGAGGAATTAGGTTGCTGTTACTCCATTGCTCTAAACCTTGATTCTGTTCCTCACTTAGATGTATAGGGATTTCCATTAAATGAGATGCTTGTAACAGAAATGGAGTTTGCAGAAAGATAAGAAAGAGGGCACTATTTCTTTGCTTTTGTAAGTTATAAATTTATAATATATTAAAATCTGTTAATAGGACTAGCTGGGAGAAGGTTGAGCAAATCCTTTAGAGTTTGCTGCCGCTACGAGTATGAATCAATAACTTTGTTGCATGCTGAGTTGAAAAGTTATCCAAGCTTAATGGCTTTCACTTTTTGAGCCTGCAATGCATTTGGGCTCTTTTCCTGTTTTATCTGGGACTAAACATGATTAACTTGTTTCTGTTTCATCTTAAATTCATCTATGAATGTCTAATTTTGCAAGTTTTATTTTGTATTTGAAAATATTATGCTGCTGGATAAAACTTGCATAGAAAACCATGAATTCACTTGGCCAAGTCCTTTCATTTTGGTTGGAATTCAGACTTCCCTTTATGCCTTTAGGTTTGCCCATTCTTAGCTTTGGTTCGTTGATTGCAGGAAACAACATCTTCCTTGTCTACAATTGCAAGGCTTCCTTGGGGCTCAAGAGCACTCTTTAATGGGAGTCAAAATGGTGATGCTGTCAATCCTCCAATTCGCTTACAACTCTATGAATTTGGTAAGATTTATAGTAATTATGTTCATTGTGGTTCCAGAATTAAAATCTCTTCTTACCTGATACCCTTTTTCTATGACAAATACACTTTGCAGGCTTTGCATTTTTAGGTTATTGAATTTCATGTCTCTTTGCAACATCAAATGCTTGATTCAATGCAATTTTGAATTTTTCTAGGTCCATATGCAGTAGGCACCAAGATTCAAATCAGTATAGTCTAGGGCAGGAGCCACCAAAAGCCCCATCAGTATAATCAGTATAATCCAGGCCTTCTGTAATTGCTTTTTTTGAAGTCACAGCAAAAATTCTTCGTAGAGGTATGTAATTCAGTACTTTCTTTTAATATTTGCATCGTGAGACTCATGTTGTTTGATACTTCTCTGTGAAAATCATGTTGTTTGATACTTCTCTGTGAAAATTTGGTGGTCATACATTTGTCTTTTTATATTATTCAGATGTCTCAATCAAATCAACCTAAAATTGAAGGTCCCTTTGGTAGTCCTAGAGTTAATCAATCCACAATCTCTGAGGTCAAGAAGCAACGAAAACCTAGGCAGGTGAAAAAGAGGTCTCTTGTTTGGAAACATTATAGGAGTTATGTTAATAAAGCTGGTGTTAGAAAAAGTGTGTGCATATATTGTAAGAGCAAATACTATTCAGATAGTAAAACTCATGGGACGAGTAATCTTTGGAGTCATTTGAAAGTGTGTCCGTCAAAACCTGATCTTAAGGCCATTAAGGGAAAGGGGAAAGGTGCTGGTAATGTTAGTGTCAAAGAGGTCCGTGATGCAATATCTTTTATGCTTGTTGTGGATGAATTGCCACTTAGTTTTGTTGCTGGCCAGGGGTTCAAGCATTTAATGGATGTGTGTGTGCCTTCTTTTCACATTCCAAGTAGAAGTACTATAACTAGAGATATTTTCAAACTGTACAAGGCTGAAAATGTTAAAGTCCAATCTCAAATTAAACAAAACAGAGGTGGAATTTGCTTGACAACCGATACCTGGACTTCAGTTCAGCGAATCAATTACATGTGTTTGACGGCTCACTTTATTGATTCTGATTGGAAATTACAAAAAAAAGTGTTGAATTTTCGTCCCATTTCAAGTCATAGGGGTAAACAAATAGGAAAGTCTATTGAAATGTGTTTGTCGGATTGGGGAGTTGAGAATGTGTTCACTATTACTGTTGATAATGCAACCTCTAACGATACTGCCATTAAATATTTAAAAGGCAAGTTTTCTAATTGGAGAAATTGTATTTTGGGTGGAGATCTGATTCATATGAGGTGTGTTGCCCACATCATTAACTTGATAGTGAAAGATGGTTTGAGTTGTTATAATGTATCTGTGGAACGTGTTAGGGAAGCTGTAAGATATATTAGGCATTCTGCTCAAAGGACAAGTGCCTTTATAAAGTTAGCTGAAATTGAAAAGTGTCCTAGTACTAAAAGTCTTGTGTTGGATGTTCCAACGAGATGGAACTCCACTTATTTAATGTTGGATGTTGCTTAGAATTATGAAAGAGCTTTTAGTAGACTTGAATCAGAGGATAGTCATTTTAAAAAGGAGCTTTTGAATGGTGTGCCTACTACATTGGATTGGGAAATTGTGAGACATTTAGTAGGTTTCCTCAAACATTTCTATCATCTTACTTTGAAAGTGTCTGGGACTAATTATGTGACTTCAAATGCTTTTTTGGATGACATTGCTTGTATTGATGTGGTGCTAAAGGCATGGAAAGATGAGAATAATGACCCAGGGTTGGTAGATATGGCAGAATTCATGAAAGCTAAATTTGACAAGTATTGGGGGAGTTTAGGAGATTGTAACAAACTGATTTTTATAGCTTCTGTTCTTGATCCTCGTCATAAATATGTGTATGTGAAGATTTTACTTTGTCATATGTATGGGGAGGATGTTGGTAAGGAATTAGCTAAATCAACAAAGAAAACGTTGAGAGCTCTTTTTCAGGATTACATACGAATTCATGCTGCTCCTACTTTTCCCTCCCCCTCTACCCCTTCTCCCTTGGCTGGTTCTTCATCTATTGGTAATTCAAGCGACATGGAGCCTTTTGCTATTTTGCAAGAAAAGGTTAGGAGGGAGATGAAAAAGAGAAAAACAGAGAAAATATTGAAAGACTATAAATCTGAGTTGGATAAATATTTAAAGGAAAAGATTGAAGCCAATGTGGCTGGATTTGATGTGTTGAATTGGTGGAAAGTTAATGGTTTTAGATTCCCAATCTTGTCCCTGGTTGCTCGTGATGTATTGGCGATTCCAATCTCAACGGTGGCCTTAGAATCTGTGTTTAGCACAAGTGGTCGGGTTATCGATCCTTTTAGGAGTTCCTTAACTCCTGAATTGGTTGAAGCCTTGATTTGCACGCAAGATTGGCTTCGTGGGGATCAATCACCCGTAAATGTTGAAGGAACCCTTGAAGTACTTGAAGAAAGTGAAGAAGGTTGTATTTTTGTGTTTTAACTGCTTTGTGTTGAATAATTTAACTTCTATTATCATTGTATGGAATGTTGCTGACTTTACTTGTCTTTATTTTGTTTCTATAATGCAGAATTCACTGATATAGAAGCAGAAGATATGGAGGAAGAAGATATAGACATTTCAGGTGCAGAGATTTCAGAATGATTGTTTGATGACTTAGGTAGTTTTCTAATTCCTGATACAATTTCTGATATATTGGTATTCATCAACTCTAATATCTGATTTTGCTTCTTTTTTTCTTTTTTTTTTCTTCTTTTTGTTTAACTCTAATATCTAATTTCACAGTTCTATGCTTTTCTGGACTTGAGTGATTGCATTTTTATTTTTTGTGGCCAAAATCACATGTAATTTGTTCATGATCTGCATCCTTGGGTTGATAACTCTTTCTGTGATAGATACATGGTGACCAATTAGGCTTTGCAGAGTCAAAAAGAGCAAATTTTTGAAGCATTGAGACTAATAACAGTTTTTGGGCTGAAGTCCAACAAGATTTTGTACTTCAAATGTCCGGTAACATACTGTTTTTCCAGTTTTTGGTATTGAGACATGGCTCTAAAATCTTGAATATAAATATGAGTGTACTTGTCAACTGCTTATTGCTGATGAAAGAAAAAGTACATTGAAATAAGCCAACTTCACTATGATGTCAAGGGTGTCTTGACCTATTAGTATTATTCCTTTACCAGATACTCCTAATAGCAATGTTCTTTCTGTAGATGTCGATTTCTTCAGTTAGTCTTGTTATAAGAGCTTTTGCTGCATAATGTTTGCCATAGCTGTCGCTTAATGATGCTGCCATATTCATTGCAGGTGCACAGTGACTGTTCTACTGACTAAGGTCTTTTTGGGATAAGTTTCTGCTGACCATGTGAGCTTGATCTGATTGTAGGCTATTTTGCTGCTTTTCTGGGAGGGCCAAACATGATATAAACTATTGATCAAATTATGTTTAGCTGAACTATGGATTCTGCGGTTTTGTCCATTCGCACTAATTAGTGCAAAAAACAGAGACATGTATTCCTGTTCACTGCTGTTTGGCAGGTTCAATGTTTTGCGGGTTCTATGTAAACAGTTTTATACCTTCAGCATAATATTCTTACATCGGGTTTACCCGATTACCCGACCGGAACCCGAATAACCGAACAAGTTATTCGGGTTGTTAGTTAGATAACAGCATGATTTGATTCGGGTCGACCCGTTTTCCACCCGAGGACCCGAAAAACCGAATCTCTTGACCCGAAACCCGTTATTTTGACCCGAATGAACAGGCCTAGGATCAACACTTATTCCATCCTTGGATACCTGGTATCCTAGGAATTTTCCTGACCCCACACAGAAAGTGCATTTCTTAGGGTTCATCTTCATGTTAATTTTGCGTAAGATTGTGAAAATCTCCTGCATATTTGCAGCTACTTGCTCGTCTTTGTTTGTCTTTATTACCTTGTTGTCCACGTAGATCTCAATGTTCCGGCCGATTTTGTCATGAAAGGTTTTGTTCACGAGACGCTGGTACGTGGCCCTCACATTTTTCAATCCAAAGGGCATTTTGTCATAGCAATAAACCCCCATCTCAGTGATATAAGCTGTCTTCTCTGCATCTTCCCCTGCCATGAGGATTTGATGATATCCCCTGTACGCATCGAAAAAACTGAGGATTCTGTATCCGGCGATACCCTCTACCATCTGATCTATGACTGGTAGGGAGTAACAGTCTTTGGGGCAATGCTTGTTGAGGTCAGTGTAAGCTTGGCACATGCGCCAAGAATTATCGGGTTTTCGCACCAAGACCGGGTTAGCTAACCAAGTGGGCCATAGAAGTTCTCGGAGTATGTTGGCACGGACTAGCTTCATTGTTTCTTCATTGATGACATCATTACGTTCACGAGCAAATACTCTTTTTTTCTGCTACACCGGTTTGACACTTGGGTCGACATTTAGCTTATGTTCCATAACTTCTCAAGGAACTCCTCTCATGTCCGCCGGAGACCAAGCGAATATATCGCGGAACTTGCGTAGCAAGGTACTAACCTCGACTAGCAATGGATCTCAGAGGGAAATGCCGATTTGAACGGTCTTGGCGGGGTCAGTCTCGCTCAGGATCAACTCTCGTGTCTTACTGCTGAGTGGTGGGAGATTGGAGGTCTCGGGATCTTTCGCCTCCGGTGGTTTGGATGTTTGTCGGATTGAGTAACACTCCGACACGGCGGCACCCGGATTAAGGTGTGCGGTCTTTTTTCCAATTCTGACTGCTGTGAGCAAGCACTCTCGAGAGCTACGCTGGCATCCTTGTACCACTCCAACTCCATACTCTATTAGGAATTTCATTACTAGGTGATAGGGAGACCAGACTGCATGTGCTTGGCACATCCAGGGTCACCCTAGAATCACGTTGAACGGCGAGGGTGCATCTATTAGAGCAAAATCCATGGTTAAGGTGACCGTTCTAGGATGCGACCCTATCGAGATGGGGAGGCTAATTATTCCTGTTGGGATAATGGTGTGGCCCGAGAATCCCATCAACGGTATTGTGGCTGGGCGGATGCAAGGGTTCTTGATATTCATTTTCTTGAAGCAATCACTGTATATGATGTCGATCGCACTGCCATTATCCACGTAAACCCTTCATACTTTTACATTTGCAATTATTGCCTCAATAACCATGGCGTTGCTGTGGGGACAGATGTCCGGGACGACATCGCTGTCTGTGAATACGATGGACTCCGTCCCCTTGAAACTCTTGTGGCTGGGCTCCTTTCGAGGAGTCTTGGTGACGGTCCGCAATGAGTTCTTCATGGCCGTGGTGGATAAGACTTCAAGGGGAGCTCCGTAAATAGCCCCTACCTGGTGAGTGATCAGCTTCGTTGGATTCACTGGGGGGAGTTGCTGGAGTGGTTGCGGTGCAGCTTCAGTAATTTGATGAGGTTGTTGTTGGGTGTTGGCTCTCGGTTGCCAACTGTTCCCCCGGCCGTCTCCCCGTGGCGGGCCTTTGAAGTTTCTTTTAGGGTAATTTCGTGATTGGGGTCTATTCTTCTTCTGCCGAGAGGCTCCTTGTACGTACTGCTGAAACTTGCCAGACTTGACCCCGTTCTCGATTTCCCTCTTAAGTTCTCTACAATCCTCCATGTCATAGCCGTGATCTTTGTGATATTCACAATATTGTTCTGTTGATTTGTTTGGATTAGGTGCCAAAGGTTTCGAGACTGGTAACTCGTCCTTATGGATCTGGAGGATTTCTCATCGCGGCTTGGTTAAGGGTGTTAATTGCCTATCCATCTTAGACAGTGCCGGTTTGTTTTCCATGGGGATTTTTGGCTTGTCCCTTAGTCCTACCGACGCGAAAGATTCATGGGACCTCTTGAGTGTGTGTTCTCGTTGTATGTGGTTCTCGACAATGGCCCACATCTCCTGACCATTCTTAGGGGGCTTGGTCGAGAGTTTGACTCGCAACATTGAGGATTTTCCAAAGGGGTTAAGGCCTTGGATGAATCCATTGCGAACATCCCGATCATCGATGTTGTCGACCTGCAAGGTTTCTTGTATGAACCGTCTGTGGAAGTCGGTCAGGCTCTCATGTTGCCCTTGTCTGATCGAGGAGAGGTCAATGGACATCCGCGATATTCCTTTACTCTGGAAGAATCGGGTAGCTAGTTTGACGGAAAAATCCTCAAAGCTAGTTATACTCCCTTCTGGTAATTGCCCAAACCATCGTTGCGCTGATCCTGCCAAGTAGAAAGGTAGCGCTTTGGCCATGAAATTCATGGTTGCGTTTCGAATTCTCATTACCTGGACATATCCTTGCAGCCATTGGGAGACATCAGTATCTCCTGAATATGGTTTAAATTCCTTAGGAAAGTCAAAGTCTCGGGGCTTAGGTTTATCTCGAATGTCCGGGATGAAGGGACTTCGGTCTAACCCTATCCCGATGATCTTTCTCATTTTTTCTCGGATCAAGATGTTCTGGTCTCTTGCTCCTTGTTGATCCCCCTGGTAGTATGACGGATTTTCTCTATGCCTGTTATATTGCTGATGTCTGGGAGGCGAGTATCAAGGACGGTGATAGTACCCTTGGTTATAGTTGCCCTCGATATTGTTGTAGCCTTGGTGTGGTTCGTGGCCAGGTCTATATTCATCACTTCGAGGGCTTCTTCAATTCCAATTGGATTCTAGGCGTTACGTCCATTAGTTCGCCTTGGGGGGTTCCCCTGTTCTCCTTCGATGATCTCGACACTCGGGGGATCGTGATACTCCCGAGTATTTTTACGTCGGTATGCCGCGTCAAATTCCTCGAGGGCCATCTCGAAGGCTGGGTATCTTTCTCTGAAAGCATTCCAAAATATGGTATCCCGGGTGGCGTTTGAGCGTTCTTCGTGAGGGTTTTTATACCCCTCGGCTTCTTGATAATTCTCGTCCTCTTGGACTTTCCGCTTCCCCCGCTTCTTCTCGAGAAGGGCTAGGGTTCTGCGAGCTTCTTTTTCGTCAATCAAATCCTCCAACTCCTGTTCTGTGGGATCAGGTTGTCCAAGGAGACAGCGCCGCCTGGTTTCTTCGAGGATATATCTTCGCATCCTCTGTTGCTGATCGCTATCATCTCCTAGCTTCTTGAGTTCAGCCTCGATCTTGGCTAGCTTCTGATCCTCCAAATGCTTTTTGGCAGCTGGGGTATTTCGAGGAGAAGGTACATCCTGCTTCTCGGGTGGAAGATTGGTTTTGCTTTGTTTCTTCGGATCAGGTTGGGAAGCGCCAAGGACCAAGCGTTCTTTTGCTGGTTCTCTTTCAGGTTCTCCGCCATGGCTCTTTCCTGTCTTCTTTTTTTATTGCCTACGTTGGAATTCGGCCAGGGGGGTATTGTCCCCTAGACTATGCCGTCGGCAGGAAGATGTTGTGCTACTGGTGTCTTCTTCAACTCTAACCATTGTGTTGGTTGTTCCTGTAACCCTAGTTTTTACCGGGAGATGTTAAGGAAACCTGAGAAGGTTTTAGTGACACGAACCCTAGTTTTTAGGTCTCACTGGGCGTGCCACTTGACGAAACTTGGTTTCGCGCCGCCGGTCTAACGGTGGAACTTTGGCTAGGGTTTCCAGCAAAACAGGGCCTCGGGGTCTCCCGAGGGTAGACACTCCGATACTTAAGTCAATAAAGGCTTGCTGGAAGGTTTAGGTATGTAGGATATTAAGCTATAGATTGCGTCCCTGTATTGTGGCATGAGTAACCCTATTTATAGGTATGAGAATACCTGGGAAATTCCTGATTCCTATTAGGTTTCGAGAATCTAAACCGCCTCAAGAGTCCCGGTAGGACTCTCCTTTCGGTTAATGGGCCGGTCCAGTCTCGGTGATGGATATGGACTCGTCATTTGATTAATTTGTTTCTTCAATCTTGATAAGTTTTGTTCCGATAGAACATATGCAAGCTGCTAATTTTCTAACATTTTATAATCAAATCGACATTGCTTTCACTTTCTCACGACTATGAGCAATGTTTATGGTTTACGCCCTTCCAGGAGTGCAGAATACGGCTCTCACGATTGAGGCAATGTGGTCTCGTTTTCAAAACTTCTTTTTTGACAAATTAACGCAAATAAAAGAACACAAAAGTCATCAACCCGAACATTTTGGGAAGCAATACAGAAGGGAATCACGGTATTCAAAACGTTGACCTAATAGTACATGGTAATTCCCCATTTAAGTTATAAAAAAATAAAAATAAAAAACATTATCCTAAGTTAAAAAAATCACTTTGCTGAATTCCAATTACATATGCACTATATCTCTAACTACAAAGGAAATGCTTCTTTAATCTCTCAATTCTTTTTGGAACTTTCTCATCACGCTTTCAATGGTAATGTCAAAAGCATCTTGAAGGTCACCTAAACTTGACTGCGCATACAAAATCCTCGGAAGAAAATCAATGATAGTTTCCCTCATTTTCCTAATCTTCTCTTCACTAAATTCCTCAAGCTTACGTCTAATGCAATCCGTACCATTCTTCTTCACATCTTTATAGTCTATAAACACTGAGTAACTCTCAGCTTCCGAAGGCAAATGCCACTCAAACTGACCTTTAAAACTGTCTTCCCAAAAGTAAACCGGAATCGAACCGGCCATCATGCAATCAAAGAACGATCTCCTTGTCGCACCATCTCCTCTTGGCTGCAAACAAAACCTCGAATCCAGAAACGCTTCCAGAATCGCCGGTTCTCCATCGGAGCATTTTTTCGCCGAACAATCCACAAATTTACACGCATTAGTTTCGCTCACACAATAATCCACCAGCAACGCGCGAAAATCGTTCTTGATCTTCTTCCGGGTCGCGCCCACGAAGCTAAACAAGCTCCGTCGGGTCCTTGATCGGATAAACCGTTGCCATTCCTCGATATCGGATCTTGATCGAGGATGAAACGCCGTCGGGTACGGAACGCTGATATCCAACTCGTCCTTTAAATCTCTACACACCGTGATCTTCGACACGTTTTGCATCAACGGCATGTTGAAGAAACGAGTACCCCAATCGGTACTTTCGTTCGTCATCTGTCGGAATGCCCATATTAGCCGCCCGAACACCATGAAGTGATCCGACCCGTTTCGTCTCTTCCAAAACGGCTGTTCCTTGATCCACTCCAGCAGCATTTCCGGCAGGCGATCGCGGGCTCGGGAACTGTAATTGTAAAAAAAGTACTTCGCAATCGCAAGCCCGGCATAAAACGGCACGTAAAAGGCGGTGGCCTCTTCGGGTTTCAGCGTTCGGCATCCGTAGTTCACCATCCTGGCATGATAGATCACCTCGGAAATATACATATCCGTCCAGTACCATGCCGGTGTAAGATTTTTCGGCACGACGCCGTCGAGGTTGATCGCTTTCGGGCCGAACCCGCCATTGGAAACCGCCGGGCAGAGGGATTTCCAAGGGTCCAAGTCGTAGCAGTTTTCTAGATGCAGTTTGTTGAACTTCGGAGGAAGTTCATACATATAGACCTTACCATGTTTGCAGTCATGATGATGATTCTCGACCGGAAAACTTTTCGGAGGAGACGACCGGAGCTGCGGGTGGTGGAACCCGAAGCTGGAATATGAATAGCCGATCCTGAAAACATTTAAAAGGGCTTGAATTGAAGCTATGATGAGGAACAAAGCTATGATGCGGACGGCGGGTTGGGATTTGATGATGTTATTAGTGTTGATGGAGTAGTTTGGATTTTCATGTGAACTGAACTTTGTTTTGGGTTTAAAAATTGACATAAATCTTTCGCTAGCTCGGAACTGGAACATGTTTGGAGAGGGAAGGGAATTGGAGAGCTGATTAAGGACTTTGGAAAGTGTTTATTCACTTTGTTGAACAAATTAAAGAACAACCTTTGTTTTTTTTTTTTTGGAGGTCAGAAGTGACGGCACCAAACAAGGAATTTTGACAGAGGAACCCTAGTATAAACACTACATACAGATGTAATATGTGGAATACAATGTGTATTTATTTCCGAAGCCCATGAAAATTTCCGAAACTATCGTAGTATTACCCAAAACAAATGGAAATTACTAGAACCCTGTAAAGGACATCTCTCTCTCAATAGAAATTAAACATAGTTTGATTTTGGTCCTGAGATAATTAATTTGCGTTTCAATCATTGCCCAAAACTGTAATCTCATTTCATCTTTTTTCGGCAACCGAAACCCTTAAAGGAGGTGATGTATTTGTCCCATACTAGATACTAGTCACTACCATAGACCCCCAATCTTAAAATGTTTTATACAAAAAGTTAAATGCATTAAAATACTTAATATTTTAGATAAGTTTACATATTTTTTATACATATTTTGTTTCTAAGTTTCACCGCCCCCAAGGTTGCCACTTGCCAAGCCACTAATGCCCATACACTTAAAGGATAATTTAAATGATTAGAGAAAAATGTTTTTCGAGGTCCATGGTCAAAATCACAACAGAAAGAAGAGTTTTGGGATAGATTGGTCATTTTCTTCACTTGCAGAAAAGAATTAAAAAGCAAAAAAAAAAATTGTTGTGCAACCAGCGTGGCTAAAAAGAAATATTATTCTCCAATGTGTCAGTCTCGAACACGCCATGGCTGTTTGCTAGTGGTGCAGCTAATTAAGAAGCCGATTTAGCGCATCTTTCTTGACGATTGTTATTATTTATACTTAATTAAGGATATCACATTGATTAGGTGAAGGATCAACCAATGAAATAGTGATAAATGTATTTTTCGATTTAATTATGCCAGAGTCGTTACATAGAACTACGTGCTACTCACTACAGATTGGATGAGATGAATCGCGATTGACAGTGTCTACCGCGCTAAGCTCGATGTGCATGAGTTGGCACTGAGTGAACCCTTTCGACAATCACATGCTTTGAACTCAAATTGCTGGATTAATCACAAACATTGCTCCCACAAGAGATCAAGATTGATATAATGTCAAACCTTTCAATAATAAAAATGGATACGAATATATACGTAACGGTAGTCAAACTACTTGTTGAAAAAAATTTACTACCTCTAAAAAAGAATTTTTTTCAATTCGAATTCAGATTAATTAAGATAATAATATTTAATACCAAAAATTATGCACAAAAGCAAAAATGGTTAATCTTAACATTTCTTCAGTTGTTGTTTTCACTTTTCTGTTATACCATATGAATATTTTTTGACGAATCCTGGAATTGCATCTCCGGCTTAATAGTGAAACTCCAGTTAGGGTTTTCTGTAAAATAGAGTCTCAGAGGTCTCCGAGGGTAGACACTCCGACGTTTAAGTCAGAAATAGGGTTATGAATAAGTGTGTGTATGATAATTAGTGCTAGAGATAGCGTAACTCAATTGTGACGTAATCATCCCTATTTATAGACATGGAATAATCTAGAGATGTCCGAATCCTACTAGGTTTAATGTTACGTCACCGCCTCAATAGAGTCGGTTGGACCCCTTGGCGGATGGGCCGGTCCAATATCGGTGGTGGATAAGGATTCGTCAAGTGCTCCTGTCAAGTGTTAGTTATGCGAAATAAATAAGATTTGACACAAAATAATTCTAACCTGGACTCAGCCAATTTGAATAGACAAGTCATAGCCCATGTTGCATCGAGTAGGCTTGATGGGATGATAGGCGGGTCATGATCCGACCCAGGAAGGTGACCCAACGTGAAATCCCGCCTAAATTGCAGCAGACGTACCCCATTATTCGACACGTTTTTCAAACGACGGTAATAGCCATCATTACTGCCTTGAAAGTAACTGAAACGGCAGAATCGTGAGGGTGCTATTACTCCTTTTTATACCAAACGAAGGAGTGTACCAAGTACTATTCTTCATTTCCAGATCTAAAAACTTCAAAAAGCTTTTACATTGCCTCGGTGTCTGTACTAATTTCGGCATCGTTCGAAGAAGCTATCGTGGTTTCGCAAAGGAAATTATCTCGAGAATTACTATTCTCTACCGGCAACCCCTCTAATTGCTTTGGTTGTTGCTGTTACTGCCGTAATAGTTTGCAGACGCTGCTGGAGTTTGTTGAAACCCTGGGAGTCTATAACTCAAAAGGTGAGTGGAAACCCCTTTCAACAGTAAGTACTCAGATTTCTCAATGTCTGTTTCATTTCCAACCCTTGAATTCATAGCGTAGATCTGGATTTTGTTGCAAGTAGACAATAATGGCTAGGAACCCAGATAAAAAATCTATCGACAATTTTACTTCCACCAAAGATTCCGATGAAAAGGTAAAATATGTGTAGACTAAGTATGACTTGCCCCTAGACCTAGAAGCTAGAGCCCCTTTAGGAACCGAGAGAGCCAATATTCCTCCAGAAGGAAAAATTACCATTTATTATTGCGTTATGTATCTAGGGTTGAGATTCCCCCTTTTTCCTTTGTTTGAGGAGATTGTGCAACACTATAAAACTCCCTTGGCACGATTCACACGGAATCTGATAACATACGTTCTCGGTTTTGTGAGAATATGTCAACGGGTGAAAGTGAAACTGTGTCTGTTTCTGTGGAGGTATTTTTTCAAAGTATCCATGTCCTCGACCTCTTTCCAAGATTGGTATATTTTGAAGAAGAACCCCAATTTGGGTGCCAAGAAGATAGTAGAGGCGTATAGCGGTTCTCCCATATGAAAACTAAACTTTCTGTATGTAAAGGCACCTGAAAAGTATTGCGCTGCCTGGAATCATCAAGAAACCAATGGATTCGAGGCAATTAAGGATGATTGGATAGATAAAGGTAAAGAAAAGATCAAGGAGTTCGCCAAGGACTTAAAGAAATTCGAGAAGTACTCCAGAATAGTTAAATGGGACGCTGTGCAGCATTTCGTTCCCGCTGTTCCCGTCAAAGAGAAGGAAGTTAATAACACTCTCGATACCCCTGTCAAGGAGAAAAAAGGTACTAATCTCTTTATTATCTCTTTGTTTTTAGGTCACGTCGGGAAATGCTGGTTCTGGACTGTATGGTAACTCCGACCCCTTTAATGTTATAAACTTAGATGAAGAGATGTCCACGACGAAAGCGATGGGTGTCCAGAAAAAGAAGAAAAAGAGAGTCATGAAGGATTCCGAGAAGGAACCCAAAAAGAGATCAAAGACTGACATCCCTATAACCAAGTCAGCAGCACAAGGTGAGAAGACTATTCCCCCAGTGATTGAGAGAGCTAGAGTGGCAGAGGAGTCTGGGCCAAGCAAGAAGCCATCTGCCATGGACAAGTGCAAAGGTCCTCTCGAAGGGGAGGCAACCATCATGCCTTCCCATCTGTTCGAGGGTGGGCCAACCATGGCTGTTCACACCTTTGGCGAACCACCGATAATTGACTATCCTTTGCTGGAAGAACTCATCGCACAACTAACAGAGACCGATAGCGTGAGGCTGATAAGTATGCTATGTCAACCAGCAATGATTCTCGTGAACCTTTGGTTGTCAAAACTTGTATTAACCAATAACTTTTGCAGATGAGTGCTGCCTCAATGGCTTACATGATGCGTTCGAGAGAGTTGAGGCAGGAACTGGTTTAGGAACAAGCTGAAAGAGACCAAGCATTGATCGAGAAGGTCACTCTCGAGGAGAAGGCCGATCAGGTGGAGGCCAAGGAGCAAGAAATAGCCTCCGTGCAGGCTAAGTACAATGAACTGGACGAGAAGCTCAAGGACTATGGTAATCTACACATCTTGAAGGAGGACCTCCATAAGTGGTGTGCCGCTTTCTGGTTTAGGATGTTGTCCACTGGTTGAGTGGCAGTGGCTATCGAGGAAGTTAACATGGCTGCCACGCAGTATAGAGGCCACGGAGTTGCCGTCGCAGGTCTTAAGAGGCTCAAGGGGAACAGACCCATCAAGGCCAAGTGGTTCAAGCAATTCTTGAGGGAAAATCTGAAGAAGATAATGCATGAGGCACTGGTAAAGGTTCTTACCAAGCTTAGAGTCAAGCAGGTGCCCCTGTGGGAGGCCTTGTGCGGGTCTCTTGCTAAGATGAGCACTCCTGAAGATATCACTACTTTTCCTGGTGATTCTGCTACAATCTTATCCAAGGGGCCTAGCGAAGAGCAGCCAATTCCAGACGTGCCGGATGAGTATATTGGCATCGAGCTCGAGGATGACGATGACGAGGCCTCAAAGGAGGGGGAAACTGGCAACTCAGGGGCCAAGGGAGATGATCCTCCAGCTGAAGATGCTACCGGCAGAGCCAAGAAGAATGATCCTCCAACCAAGGGAGCCTCTGAGAATCGTCCCTCTCACGAAGCTGTATGAACTTCTGCTTTTGTAATAGTTGCTAGGGATTTGTTTGAACAATTATTTTGTAAACAATTCCTTCTTTTTTGCTTTATAAGTACATTCATGCCTTGCCTTATAGTCTAATGTTGGCTTTAAATGTTTTCATGGAACAGGATAGTTGGCCTGTTCATCGAATTAACCTTATGATTTTGTCAGGGGAACAATCCAAGGATCTATACTCGATGATTAGCAACATCATGAGGAGGAGAGCCGATATTCACATCATTGAAATAGTAATGAGCCCGGAGGCAGACATCCTTGATGCCATTCGAGCCCACAATGTGAGGGTTAGCCAACATTTGATTGATGAGATCAAAGGGCTTCGTGAGGAGACGCATCAACGCGACTATCAAAAAGACTAGGACTACCACGACTCCTTGATTTTTAAGACTGAAATTCATGATGAGTTAGTCACTTCACGAATGGAGAACACCCAATTGAGATAGAACTAGAAGATAACAATATCCCAATGGTTTCTCGAGAAGCACCATGTTCTCGCTCGAGTACAACACATGATTGCAGTGAAGACTCGTCGTTTTATATCAGCCATGGACATACTAAAGGAGAGGAGTCGCGGCATCGAGATTCTTACTGATTATTGTAGCATTCTTTAGAACAAACTTGCGGATTACAAGATCGACTTTCCCAGTTTCGAGAAGCCTGAAGAGTATGTGGATCCGAGAACTAGGGTTAGTACGAGGAGAATTCCTCAGTTTTTAATGTCCGGATGTTGAATACACGGCTCAAATCCAGGATGGCCCTAAAGAGGGTGTCCATCTCATAGATTAGTCATTATATAGTGTCGACACAAGGGAAGTATGAGAAAAAATATGCAATGGCTTTTATTGAATAATTACCCGGGGACCCGGGTTAGCATTACATATACAGGAATAAAAACAACAAATCACACAGAGCAAGTAAATTAGCATGTAGCAGATAAAAACTTAAACATAGAACCTGCGGAGGTTTTGGATGTTCTACCTTCGAGGGAGGATGGTTCCCGTGTCGTCTGTTGTTTGCTGGTGATAACTGCCAGAAGGGGAAGCTTGGATGACTTGATAGAGTCCTTCCCAATTTACTGATAATTTTCCAGGAGTCTCCGCTCGACTGACTTCATTCTTCCTAAGTACCAGATCCCCGACGGCAAAGTCAGTGCTTTTGACTCGCTTATTGTAATGCTTTCTGAAGATATCTTTGTACTTAGCTTCCCGAACTTTCACGGCATCTCGCCGTTCCTCGAGCAGGTCAAGGTTAGTCAGGATGTCTTCATTATTGGTGTTCTCGACGAAGTTGATGGTTCTAGGACTAGCAAGACCAATCTCAACTGAGAGTACAATTTCCATTCCATAGACCAAACTGTAGAGAGTTTCGTCTATCGAGGAGGGAGCTGTGGTTCGATAGGCCCACAGAATATGGAAAGCTCGTCGACCCAAGCTCCTTTAGCGTTTTGCAGCCTGGTTTTGATTCCATGAAAGATAGTTCTGTTGATGAATTCAACTTGGCCGTTTGCTTGTGGATGAGTGACAGCGGAGAATCAGCGCTCGATTTGCATTTCAGCACACCATGACTTGAAAGTGTCACGGGCTTACTTTTTCAAAGTAACGGCCGTGCGGCGCTAGCACAAACCAACTAACGATCAAGTGCTAGCTCAGCCTTAAGACCCCCAAAACGCGCAAAGCTAGGCAAGACCTTAAAGAACGGAGGCGAAGAAAAACTTAAGAAAGTTTGAAAGTGAAAGAACGATGAAAGCACAAGAGAGCTTAAGGAATGCTTGAGAACTCTACTCAAAGCTTGGATGCTTACAAATGAAGGGGGCATGGGGTATTTATAGGCAAACCCCCAAGTCCTAAAGAATTCTAGAGAATTCTATGTACATAATAAAATAATGGAATTCTAGAGAATTCCTACAATAAAATATTCTAAGTTCAAAATATCTACAAGTCTCTAGAATCTTCCACACGGTTCTAGCAAACTCGGGTAGCTTCCACACGGTTCCACCCATTTCTAGAGAGTTCCGGGCCTCTCTAGAAAATTCCAGTGTCTTCAAGATTTGACCGGAGAATTCCACAAGGCTCTAGACCGTTCCGTCCATGTCCGTCTACGAAAATAGCCCGTTTCGCATCAAACCACCCGAATTCGTGGTGAAGAAAAACTGTCCGTGACATCCTCCCCCACCAAAATGGTGCATCGCCCCGATGCACCTAAGTCTCGAAGGCAATGTTGATAGGAACGGGTGCACGATTCTCCTCAAAGTCCTCGATCAATTTTGTGAATTGCCAAAGCTTCTCGATTGGCTCCCAACTCGTCTCACTCATTGGCAAATTCTTCCATTTCACCAAGTATTCTTTAGTTGCTGCCCCGCTCTTGCCCTGAACGATCCTCTTAGAAAGGATCTCCTCTGCGGTCCGTTCCTCATGCTCGCGTACGCCAGCTAGTGCCCTTGAGGAAACATTCCGTTCTTCGTCCTCTGGATCCTTGAGGTATGGCTTAAGTAGGCTCACATGAAAGACTGGATGAAGCCTTGAAAAGGCCTCGGGTAGCTCCAGCTTGTAAGCAACCGAACCCACTTTCTTGAGAACAGTGAAAGGACCCTCGTATCTGCGCATGAGACCCTTGTGTAAACCACGGCTCTGACCATGCTCATAAAGCTTTACCAAGACTTGGTCGCCTTCTTCAAACTCGCGACGGGTCCGTTTCTTATCCGTCCATTTCTTCATGCGCGCGGCCGACTTCTCCAAGTAGAGTTTTGCTTCGTCGGCCCGTTCTTGCCAATCTTTGGCAAACTTGTTTGCGGGTGGGCTATTGCCCTTATAGCCCCCAAGAATGTCCTTAGGCGTAGTCGGTTGGAAACCAAGGACAATCTCAAACGGACTTTTGCCCGTGCTCTCACTCCGCATCAAGTTATAGGAAAATTGGGCAACGTCTAGCAAACGTACCCAATCTTTCTGGTTGGCTGCCACATAGTGCCTAATGTACACCTCCAAGTGGCCATTGATGCGCTCTGTCTGCCCATCCGTTTGCGGGTGCAAAGATGTAGACATCTTGAGCTCTGTCCCAAGCAAACGAAAGAGTTCTTGCCAAAAACGGCCGGTGAACCTTGAGTCCCTGTCGCTTATGATTGATGTAGGCAGCCCCCAATACTTCACCACATGCCTAAGAAAGAGTTTGGCCGTTATCTCCGCGGTGCACTCTTTTGGGGCGTGTATGAAGACCCCATACTTAGACAAACGGTCCACCACAACAAGTATGTTGGTGCAACCCTCGGAAACGGGCAGGCTCACGATAAAATCCATCAAAACGTTGTCCCATGGGCGTTCCGGAATAGGCAAGGGTGATAACAAGCCATGCGGGTGGTCTTGCTCGGTCTTGTCTTGTTGGCAAACTAGACAACTCCTTACATATGTCTCCACGTCTTCCCGCATGCGAGGCCAATAGAACCGTTCATGGACTAAGGCAAGTGTGCGATGCGTACCTGGGTGACCCGCATAACGGCTATCATGGCAATCCCTTAGAATCTCCCGTCTAAGTCCATCCCATGCGGGCACGTACAAACGGTTCCCTTTGGCATAAAGTATCCCATCCTCAAGCCAGAACCGCGTTGTCTTGCCTTCCTTCACAAGCTCCATGAACCTTTGGGCTTGACGGTCGTGCTCAACACCCTTCTTGATGCGATCAACCAGCGTCCCTTCGGGTATGCTAATGATTGGCGCAAGACATGCCTTTCGGCTTAAGGCGTCGGCCACGTGGTTAGTCTTCCCTGGGCTATACTCAAGCTCGTATTTAAACTCGGCTAAGAAGTCCAACCAACGTGCTTGCTTGCTTGAAAGCTTAGGTTGGCTTTGATGGTAGCTCACTGCGCGATTGTCCGTCTTGATCTTGAACGGTGTGGCGGCCTTTAGGTAGTGCTCCCAAACTCTAAGGCCGTGAACTATAGCCAACATCTCCTTCTCGTGCGTCGGCCACCTTTTCTCGGTCTCATTCAACTTGCGACTTTCAAAGGCGATCGGGTGGCCATCTTGCATGAGAACGCCCCCAATGGCGAAGTCCGAAGCATCCGTGCACACCTCGAACGGTTTCTCAAAATCAGGGAGAGCTAGGACTGGCTCTCGAGTGACGGCGTCCTTTAAAGCCTCGAACGCTATTTGGTGTTTTGGTGTCCAACACCAAGCTTGCCCCTTCTTCAAGAGATCCGTTAATGGAGCGGCTATGGCGGAGTGTCCTTCAATGAACCGCCGATAGTAATTAACAAGCCCCAAGAACGATCTCAGCTCCGTTGGCTTCGTGGGTGCCTCCCACTCCACGATAACTTTGATTTTGGCTGGATCCATGCGGATTTTGCCCCCACCAATGATGTGTCCCAAGAACGACACCTCCTCAAGGCCGAAGGAACACTTCTCCCTTTTAACATAGAGCTGGTTTTCCCTAAGGACTTGAAAAACGGCTCTAAGATGCTCCACATGCTCCTTCATTGTGTTACTATAGATAACGATGTCGTCCAAGTATACTACAACGAACTTATCAATGAAATCCGCTAGCACACGTTGCATTAGAGTGCAAAACGTGGCTGGGGCGTTAGTTAAACCGAACGGCATAACAAGAAACGCATAAGGGCCATACCTCATCACCATGGCCATTTTCGGTTCATCACCGGGTACTATGCATACTTGGTAGTATCCCTTCCGCAAGTCTAGCTTGGAAAAGATCTGTGCCCGTTGCAGCCGGTCGAACAAGTCCGCTATAAGTGGGATAGGGTACTTGTTCTTCACGGTTAGCTTGTTTAACGCCCGATAGTCGATGCACAAACATAGCGTCCCATCTTTCTTGCGTTGGAATAAGGCCGGCGAACCCCACGGACTTTTAGACGGCCTTGCATGACCCGATTCAAGTAGCTCCTTGATTTGTACCTTGAGCTCCTCTAGCTCGCTAGGGGACATACGATAAGATACCTTGGCTATCGGTTTCGCCCCGTCCACCAACTCGATAGCATGATCAACCTCCCTCCTTGGTGGAAGACCTTTGGGCAAATCGTCAGGCATCACGTCCTTGAACTCAACAAGGACTCGCTCTATGGGAGGCGGGATTCGTTCCTCCTTTGCCGGCTCCTCTGTGCACGGTTCCTCCTCAAACACCATGGCGGCAAAGGTGTGTTCACCCCGTTTTAGCCCCTTGTTCAGCTGGGAAGGGCTAATCTCATTCTCCCGTCTAAACTTTACCACACAAGGCTTCTCTCCTTGGAGGATTACCATCGTGTCATTGCTAGGCACGATGATTGGCTTAACCTGGTCTAAAAACTCCATGCCAAACACAAGACCGTAATCGTCCATAGGGGCGATGGAGAAATTAGCCGTACCTGACCAGTTGC